TGAAATCTTCCCAAAAATATTTTATATAAATATAAAATCATTGTATACATAAAAATATATATAATTATTATTTACTAAGAAAATACGGGGGATTACACTAGGCCACCAACAACCATGCAAGGCGCAGCGTGCTAGGCAGCCTAATGGTGTCGCAAGCTCGCACTCGCATGGCCTGCTAGCAGAACGCAGTAGCCCGCTAGCTAGCGAGGCTTGTTGGTGCTTGCGGCAAGCCAGCTAGCAGCGCATAACCGCCTAGCTAGCAAGCAGTGTGTGCAGGCCGACCCAGCTGAAGCCACAAAGGTGTTGATCGGCCATTCCTTGTTGCCCAAGTACATTGATCGGTCTTGCCTTATTGTGATTTGTGGGTTTGGTGGCTTGGGAAACAAGGAGGCCATGTGGGATGTCCTTGTGGTCCTCACCTAACCCCTTGCTCACCTTATGCCATTATTGTTTGAGGATTGCCTTGCCATTTTAATTTAATTTAGAATAAAATTAATTCTTTGTTTTGCCATTTTTACCAACTATCCCACATTGAAAGATGATGGGAAATCTTGGGGACATTTCTTTATAAATACCAATCATTGGGTATTGGGAATTTCAGTTGAGTTGGTGAACTCTAAGGGATCTCCAAAAGCGAGAAAACCTTAGTTCGTAAATTCTAAGTTAATTTTGGTCTAGCTCCATCTAAGCTACAGGGTAGGGGCCGATTTCGGTTCGTTAACGAGGGTGTGAGCTGTCGGAGGTTCTCGCACTTGCGGAACTTGAAGCTTTCAAGTCCGAGCTCATCGGTTGAGCGAAGCACGTTTCTAGGGTGAGTATTCTTTCTCTTTCTCTTTACTTGTGTTTGTGTTTTTGTTTATTTGCATGCTTTTGTTTATGTTTTAATCATTATGCATGCGATCCAGTTATCGGGTTTTGTTGAAAGGGTGATAATTAAATCCACGGCGTTGATTTTAATAATACATATTCACTAATTGGAATGCTTAACTCTTTTCGTGATTATTCTAGCAAAATTGTGCATATGAAATACAACAAAATAGATACAAAAACTGCCTTCCTTAAAATAGGATTTTGGAAGAGACTATGGAAATAGTCTAAGGGTTTTGATTATTCTAAATAATTCTAGATTTGAAAGCAAGCTCAAAAAAATCCATTGGTGGATTGAGGGAAGCATGTAGGAATTGGATGGGTTTTCTCATAAAGTTAATATAAGGTTTGGCTTGTTAAGAAACATGGAAATTCTTAGAATAAAGAAGTTTAGTGGGAGCAAAAGTCAATTTTATAAGGTCCAATAAGAAGTTTACGAACTCTATTGTAAAATAACTATCAAATGCTAAATGCTTAGATTTGAAAGAATTTTTCAATGATGGACCAAGCTAAAGGCGATACTTAGTACATAGTGGGAATTAAGATTGTTGTATAGACTTAATAAAAATTTTGAACTAATAAAGGAATTTACCATATTAAACATGAAGGACTTGAAAAGGCCTTCAATCCATATGTATAAGACTAAGTAATTAATGCTAATTGAATCAAATAAAAGTGAAAGTGAGAAAGTAGAGAGAGAAAGTTCGCTGAGCCGCCTTTTTCGCGTGAAATCTTTGATTGGGCTATGGCTAATCGTAAAAAAGGCAAAGCTAAGAACAAATCTAACTCTAAATCTTCTTCTAAAGCCAAGAAAAAGCAACGAACTAAGATTAAATCCTGTAAAAAAGTGGAAATCGATGAGAAGGGTAATGCTGATGAAGTGGGTTCGATTGAAAGCTGGCTTAATGGGGCTATGGTGGATGAGATTCCAATCAGGGAGTTTTCGGAGGAGAACAAGAAGATTCATAAACATTATTTCAATCAGTGGCTTGAGGTGATAAATGAAACCCCTAATTGTCCTTCAATGGTGGTTAATTCTGATAAGCGTATTAGTAGCTCTAATTTGAATGCTGGGTTTCATAATCCTACTCCTCTGCTTATGATCACTGAATCTAATGCTGATATCCATGAATTTGAGAATAATTTCCTCAAGAATATTGATGTTGGGGGTAAGATTGATTCAGAACCTAAGGGCTCTCAACCTAAATCTCCTATTTGCAATGAACAAGGGGGTAGTGAGGCTATAAGCTGGAAGGGTCTGTTTATCATCTAGACGAGGGTTGGAATTTGGGAAGTGGGAATACTACTTGGAAGTATTATTCGTGTAGTAAGGATGTTCATGATGATAAATTGATGCAAATTTCTTGTGATGATGTTAAACTAGAACTTGAGTTTTAGGATTCTTCAATTGTTTGTCATGTGCTTTGTGCTAAACCGTCTATCCCTGTAATGGGGGGTTTTCTTAGAAGAATCTAGGGGAGGTATGGGATTGATAAGATTGCTTCGAAGGGTAAGGAGATTTTCTTAGTACGATTTAAAACTTAAGATGCGAAGGAGAACGCTTTCAATGCTTGGCCATATTTGTTTGACAGGAAACCTCTCATTATGAGGAAGTGGGAACCTGGTTTAGATCTTTCTGAGGATACCATACTGCAGATTCCAGTTTGGGTTAGGTTTCCTGACTTAAACCTGAAGTTTTGGAGTCAGGCTACTCTAATGAAGATTGCTGGTCTTGTTGGTAACCCGATCAAAACTGATAAGGCTACTGCTTCAAAAGAGTTATTGGAATATGCTAGAGTAATGGTTGAAGTTCAGGTGGATGGTAATTTTCCTGAGTATGTGGATTTTCTGGATGAGGAGGGTAGAGTTGTTCACCAAGAAGTTGTGTTTGAATGGAAGCCAGTGAAGTGTTCTATGTACAATGGTCTAGGACATGATGTGTCTAAGTGTCCTAATCATTTGGTTCAGGCAAGGCAGAAAAGGAAGACAATTTAGAAGAAGGAGCAGTTTGAGCAGAAAGCTTGACAACCGGTCTAGAGACAAGATCAAAGACAGTCTAATGATCCTATCAAGGGGAATATACGTACTGCTAACAGGTTCTTGAATCTTATTGAGGAAGAGGTGGATGAAGGGAATATGATACATAAGGGAGCAGGTCAGCATAGCTCTGGGAATAAATTGCTTGCAGATGGAAGAGTGTTGTTTGGTGATATAGGAGGAGGAGTGTATTCTCACTCTTTCCATGGATAGGTGTGGATTTTGGAATGTAGGAGGGTTAAATGGACCTGAAAGAGTATATGATGTGCTCTGGTTCCTCAAGCACAATCATATGGGTTTATTTGGCCTCATTGAAACCAAGGTGAAGGGGAAGAATTTTGGTAAGGTTTTTTTGTAGTTTTAAAAATGATTAGGCTGTTTGTGCTAATTATGGGAAGGTGGATAAGGGCAAGATCTGGGTTCTTTGGCTTCCCAGCATCTTTGAGGTGATAGTGTTGAGAGTTGAAGTTCAGTTGATGCATTTAAGAGTGGTTCACAGGGCTATTAGGTGTGTCTTTTTATACATGATGGTTTATGGCCTTAATACTGCGAAGGAGAGAGAAGCTCATTGTCATCAGTTGATTGAGATAGCAGGTTCTATTACGAGTCCTTGGATAGTGTGTGGAGACTTTAATAATATCCTTAATCTTGAGTATAGGCTGGGTTCTCCTTGTACCTTGAGGGAGGTAGAGCAGTTTAGGGAGTGTGTGGCTCAGTGTGAGCTCTTAGAAGCAGCTTTTGGTGGGGCTTTTTTCACTTGGAGTAATAAGTAGCAGGGGGAGGCTAGAGTGTGTTCCAAAATAGATCGTGTTTTTGTTAATAGTGCTTAGGAATAACAGCTCAAAAATTACTCGGTTTCCTTTCTGCCTGAAGGTTTGATGGATCATTGTCCCTGTAGCATAACTCTATTTGGGGAGGCTTGTGGTGGTAACAAACCTTTTAGGTTTTTTAACTGTTGGGTGGATGCTCCTGGGTACTGGGATGCTGTTAGCTCTGCTTGGGCTGTTGAGTTTCAGGGTACTGCTATGTTTATAGCTTTTAAAAAGTTACAGGATGTTAAACAAAGGTTAACGCAGATTAACTTGAAGTAATTCTCTGATATTGACTCTAAGGAGTTCAAGGTTGCTATTGAACTTGAGGCTGTTCAAAAGAGGCTTGGTTCTGATCCTTTGAATGAGGAGATTCTGCTTGAAGAAAAATTGGCTGGGGAGAGATATGCTACTGCTCGGGCCATCAAGTACAAGTTCATGAAACAAAAGGCTAAGTTGCACTGGTTAAAGGAAGGTGATATTAATTCATCATACTTCCATGCTTGTGTTAGAAAGAGAAGAGTCCAACACAGAATTTCATGCATTTAGCTTCCTGATGGGAGTGTGTTTGATTCCCCTGATCTTGTTATTAATGCTTTTCTGAGCTTTTATAAGAAGCTACTTGGCACTTCTTCGCCCCCTTCTCAAGGTGTGCATCAGGCTGTTATCCTGGAAGGAGTTGTCTTGGACAATGCTCACCAATCAGCTCTGTGTAGGGAGTTCTCTGAGGATGATATCAAGGCTGCCCTATAGTCTATTGATGAAGATAAAGCTCCAGGACCCAATGGTTTTATTTTCTAGCTGTTTTTTAAAATCTGCTTGGCACATTGTTAAAGGGGAGGTCTGTGATGCTATGTGGGATTTCTTCCTTCATGGTAAGCTTCTGAAGCAAGTGAGTGCCATTACTCTCACTTTGGTGCCTAAGGTTGAGGGGGCTTCTCGGTAGGTCAGTTTTGACCTATTGCTTGTTGCAATGTCTTGTATAGAATCATTTCGAAGCTCATTTGTTCAAGGTTGAAGGAGGTGCTTCATGTGCTTATTGATGACTCTCAGCGTGCGTTTGTGGCTGGGAAAAGTATTATGGATAATATCTTAGTTTGTCAAGACATGTTAAAAGATTACAATAACAAGAGGAGATCTCCAAAATGTACTATAAAAGTGGACTTGAAAAAAGCTTACGATTCTGTTCATTGGTCTTTTATTAGAGAGATGCTAAGTAGTCTTGGCTTTCCTGTTTAGTTTATTCAGTGGGTGATGGAGTGTTTGTCCTCCCCCTATTATTCTTTAATGATTAATGGAGGGCTTCATGGCTTCTTTAAAGGGCAGAGAGGGGTGAGACAGGGTGACCCTATGTCGCCTCTTCTTTTTGTTATCGTTATGGAGTACTTGACTAGGATGTTAAAGAAAGTGGAGAAGATGAGGGCCTTTAAGTTTCATTATAGATGTAAGGATTTAAAGCTTAATCACTTGATCTTTGCCGATGATCTAATCATTTTTGCTCATGGGGATATAAGGTCTATTTCTTATGTGGTGAGAGCGTTGAGAACTTTTGAAGCTATTTCTAGGCTTGGTGCTAATGCTGACAAGATAGCCATCTACTTTGGCAATGTCAATCCTGGTGAGAAGGCTGCTATTTTGGATTTATCTGGATTTGTTGAGGGTGTTGCTCCTTTTAAGTATCTGGGTATTCCCCTTAATGCAAGGTACTTGAGAGTGACTGATTTTGATGGGCTAGTAGACAAAATGCTAGTTCAAATTACTTGTTAGTCTAGTAGGAATATGTCCTACGCAGCGAGAGTTGTGCTCCTTAACTCTGTTCTCATCAGCCTACACTCCTACTGGGCTCAGTGTATGCTACTTCCCAAATCTGTTGTGGCTAGGATAAATCAATTATGTAGAGCTTTCCTTTGGTGTGGCTCTGCTATTCTCTCTAAAAGTCCCCCTTTGGCTTGGAAGTGGGTGTGTTGTCCTAAGTTAGCTGGTGGTCTTGGGGTGAGGGATTGTTCTCTTTGGAATACAGCTGCTTTGGGGAAGTATGTGTGGCAAGTTGCTACTAATTAAGAAGGACTCTCTTTAGGTGAGGTGGGTGCATAGTGTTTATTTGAAGGAGTATGACTGGTGGTCTTATTCCCCTAAGAAGGCTGATGGGTGGGCTTGGAGGAAGATTTTCAAGGTTAAGGAGGGACTGAAGGAGGCGTTCTTGGCTGGTAATTGGAGCAGTCAGCAGTACTCAATTTCTAAGGCTTATAAATGGCTTCAAGGTAACATGCCTAGAGTTGGTTGGACTGATTGGGTGTGGAACAGGTATAATGTTCCTAAACACTCTTTTATAACATGGTTGGCAGTCCGGGGTAGGTTAAGAACTAAACAAAAGATTTTGAATTTTGGTGCGTGTGACAGTAGCTGCTGCCTGCTATGTGGTGATCAGGTTGAATGCAAGGACCATCTGTTCTTTGATTGCTTATATAGTAGGAAGTGTATTAATGTGATCAGTGCTTGGCTTGGCATAAGGAGAGGCATTATAATATTGAGGCCTCGTGGAAACACTAGAAGAGATCAAAGAGGGATGTTATAAGCAGGAAGGTTGTTTTGGCTAGGTTGACTGTTGTTGTGTACTTTGTTTGGCTGGCTAGGAATTCTGCTTTCTTGAATCAAGCTGTCCCTCTGCCTCACAGATTATGTGCTAGGATTGGTGTTGCTGTTATTGATAGATGTCATCAATTGATTGGTCCAAAGTGGAAAAAGGAACACTGCAAATGGCTAGTTGACCTGAGACGAACAACTCCCCCTTAGCTTGCTTTGCTTCTCTGGTGCTGTTTCAGTGTTGTGCTGTTGTGTTGTGTTTGTGGTTGTTGCTGTGTTTGCTGTGTTACTGGATTCTGAGGTGTTGGGTAGTTGAGGTATTGTCTGCAGGCTGCTTATGTGCTGTTTTTGTGTTATGTTCTCTGTGCAGGCTAGTTTTGGTTGTGCTGCAGCTAGGCTCTGTGTTCTGTGCAGGCTGTTGTCACTGTCTGGCCTGCTTAGAGCTGCTTCCCTTGCTGCTGTGTGTGTCGTTTTTTGATGGATTGTGTTTTAGTGTTAGGAAGCTTGTTTTAGTTTTTGATGTTCGTCTCTTTGTTTTAGCTTCGTTTTTTAGTTGCGAGTTGTTTAGCATGTTGTAAGCTTATGAGCTAGTTTGTTTTTTGGTGGATTGTTTGGCCATTTTGGCTCTTGTAGTTTGGGTGAGGGCTTTCCCTCCTTCTTTTTGGTAATAAATGCTTCTTACCTACCAAAAAAAAAAAGAGTAAGTAATTGTTTGAACTAAGTATAAGCTAGGCAAATACTAAGTCAAACAAGAAAGACTCAAGTAGAGACTTACAACCATATAGCAAACATTTTAACAGGACACGGTGAAACTGGATAAGCTGAATGGGATCAAATTGGAATAATTTTGCAATTAGATCCATCATGTATGCTATGATATGGAATCGTCACATGACCTGCATGCTTAGAGCATGACAAGTATAAAATACCAATCGACTTGAATCTAAGCAATGAATCCTTAGATTATGATCAAGAACGTCCAAAGTTCTTGATTAAGTAAAAGGATGAGTTCTTGATGCATGTAAACAAATATAATTTGAGTATTAATGTAATAAGCACAACCTCGGCAAGGATTTGATCCTTGATGAGGAAGCCATTTATAAGCACGAGATTAAGACGCATCGTGGCTTGAGAATGGCAACATGAACTTATGTCCATGTATATTATGCTGAAATTTAAGGTAAATTCCCATAATCACAAATGATTAGGGTATCTATATCATTATGAGCCAGTAGGAGTAAAATCCAACCAAAGCATCATTAGGAAATCAACTAAAGTATATGTTGAGAACATTGTTGCCTTAGAGGTAATAATTAGGAAGTTGTTAAATGGATAGTTCGTTGTTGAACTTTGATGATTGTAGGTTGTCAAGTTGAAGATCTCAAATCATGAAAATGAGTTGGAGCCATCACTTAGACAATAAATCCAAAATCAAGTATAATAATCCATAAACTCAATTGCATAAAGGAAATCAAGCATATTAGATATGGGTGTGATTTCCATAAATGTTTTGTATTGAGTATTACTCTTAAAACATTTAGTGAAAACCATTTATCATATGATGAAACGTTGAAAAGTTTCATAGTGGAATAAAATTTACTAATTATTCCACAAACTATTTAATTGTGGTTTAGAATTAAATAATAAGTCCATTCGATTTGATGATATTCAAAATAGGGTATCAAGACAAGTTTTGGATAAAGAAACACCTCTTAAGTGAACGTTGAATATTATATCGAAATTATCCCTGATCGAGGTCATTTGAAAGTTGGACGACTAATGACCGCGTGAGATTAGTGTGTAGTATGATTTATAGCAATGTTTCTTGTGCTATAACAAGAATGTCATAAATCATTTGCGCAGGTATTGGTTTGGAATTATAATGGATTAACCTATGAGAATACTGTAAGAGATTTAACAATTGTCATAAGTATATTGCTCATTATGGCTATCGAAACCTCTTTCCTCAACCATGAGTATTGTAAGTTCTCTTGTTTGAGTACTAGTCCGCTTTGATGTTGTCAAACGTCTGCCGTACAAGGGGATTACAAAGGCAACACTCAGGCAGTTAGGGCCTCTTATTAAGGGAATCTTAGAATGCAAGACTGGGAATGTCCCCCTATTAACAATAAGGAACATGTCTTTGTTATTTACAAGGCTTCTCAAAGAGCGAGACTGTGAAAATGCATGACCGTGCTCTGATGGATTTTAGAAATCATCTTCTTATTGACAGTCGAACTCAAAAATCAAGAAACACTTCTGGACGTAATAAAGATGACGAAAAGTCTTACCTTATAGTTCACGAAAAGACATTAAGTGACATAGGAAACAGGTTCTACACAAATAGCACACTTGTCTGGAAGGACAAGTAGGAGATTGAAAGGAATGGTGTCCTTCGAACAAGTGTATTATTCCGATAGAGGGTTCGGAATTAATTAGGAAAGCTAATTATTCAGTGTGGTCAAGTGATCGGAATGCCTAGCTGGAGGCCGCTTCCGATCAGTAATATTAATGTATAATTAATATTTCCGCTTAATCTTGACTGAACCCTTCGGGTCACTCCCAATCGTGTAACCAAACCAAAGCAACAAATTAATCCGAAGGATTAAATGAGTTGATAGAGATTTTATGATTTAAGACGTCGGATTCCGAGCTTAGAGCGTTGAAGCCGAGCGTCGAAAGTCGAGTCGAATTTAAAAATCGACTAGACGGAAAAATCGGTCAAACTACAAGTCAACGTGCACGAAAATCCTAGCTTCGCAATGGCCTAGCCATACGAGGACTAGGTAGGCTAGCATGGCTAGCCAAGGTTCATGCCGCAAGGCTAGCACTGCCGCAACCCGAGCTTGGTGCGCGCACGCACAAGCTAGGATTGCTGGCCGAGTGCGTGGCGCTAACACTAGGTGTAACACCCCAATAATTCTCTCTAAAAGAAAACCTGCAAAAACTTGTAATAACCTGTATAACCTGTAAAACCTGTATAACCTGTAATAACCTGTAAAACCTGTAAGAGAATTATTGGAGTGCTACCGCCACGTGTTCAAACGTTAAGGCTAGTTTCAGAAATCAGCAGCGGAAAACTAACTTAGTTTTTTTTTTTTTTAAAAGAAAAGGATATAAGTTTTGAAACTAAAAACCAAAATCAGGCTTTAGACTTACAAGTTGGAACCATAAAGACCCTTATTCAAAATCCATATAAAATAGGAAGTAAGTAAAATTATAGTCAAAATAAACTCAGTCTATGAAGTGAAATAAGATAAGTAATTAACCAACGCTCCACTCAAATCCCATCACCCTGATGCAAGACAGTTTATGCAAAAACCTGTGATGAATCTGCTCCCCAATATTACAAGTGTAATAATTGGATCATTACAGGGTCATTGAAGGCGAAGGCCATGACCAAAGAAAACACACAAAAGCACGCAATCAGCAACGCGGAGTACATACAAGTTACAAAATATAGTAAAGAGTTCTAGTATGATACTAACAAGCATTCCATACACTCATAATATTATCATTGACTCGAACACATGACTCCATAGTTACTCATTACTAAGTTTTTATTTAAATAGCATTGATCACTTCATTAATTGATTGGATTAAGCAATAGACCGGGTTGTCCCTCTGTGCTCCATTCCGGAACATTAAATAAGAAAACCCTATGCCTCCTTTCGGAAGACATTAATAAACATCCAATGGCTAACGGGCGCGACTCCGTGGCCATAGCTAGTATGAGATCTCATCTAACTCATTATAATTTTTAAAAGAATTTAAACAAGAGACTCGTAGATCAGACGGCCTCTGAAAAGTACACGGCTAATACCCCGTGAACCCCAACCCATGTTTGTCATTACTCTAGATGTGCACAAATCCAGAGTTTTATTGCTCATCCTTCTTGCACTTTACGTGATTTACCAGTTTAGATTAGGTGATGACTCTCATGCAATCAACACAACCAATCATACATCAATCATACAAATCATTCAAGTTTTCAATTCAATTCTTAATTTATTAGTGACAAACATGTATTATTGCATCCTTTAACTACATACCTCGGTGTATAAACACCTTAGGTGCATAAGCCACCTCAAATCCACAATCCTGTCTTATCAGACTTTAACTCTTTGTTTACTCATTCCAATTCAATACAATTGAATAAGTAGTTAAAACAATTCATTCCATATATATATACTTGTAGCTTTGCTTCTAAGCTCTCTTTGCAAAATATTGCATGAATAATGCTCAATAGGAAATATCAATGCAATTTCTCATACATGAATTAAAGCAATCATCACATTTATCAACAATCAACTTATTACCAAACAATTTCAACCAATCCACAAGTCTCCTAACATGATTCTAGGTCTTTCCAAGTCCTTAAACATGCTTCTAAAGTCAAGGTTCTTCGTATACTTGTACGTACCTTGAGTACACAAATTGATTGGCCACTTTAAGGCTAGAAGTCACCCTCTACGAAGTCCTCTCCTAGACAGAACAACAATAGCTCAATTAATACCCAAGCAACATATATTATATCAATACTAAACTATTTTAAAATCCTTTAAATCATTGAAATAATGTTCTTAAATTATTCCCAATAGCCAAAGTTAATAATTTAGTACTTGAACTATGAGTTTATATGCTTAAATCACAAAAATATGGCTTATAGCAAAAATTTCAGCAACTGTAAAGTGATGTAATAAATCTGAAAATTCGTTTTAAGCATGTAAAACAATCTCGCAAACATTTTCACTTGAAACAATCATTATATAGTACGTTAGTATGTTGAGAACTTGAAAACCCATCATAAAACCATGACTTAAAGCTATTTAAAGTTAAGATTAAAATCTGAAAATTTAATTTAATAATAAAGTGTATGAATACAACAATCTAAACTTGAAATATATTATTATAATTTAATTAGTTTCATAAAAACTCAATTAAACCTTCGATAAAAATAAAAAAACTGCACGAAAAGTATACTTAGAAGCTGAATTTGGCCACGAGAGGGTGGTGCTCACTACCATTGGTAGTGAGTTTTAATTAGAGCATCGTTTACAGACGAAAAACACTATTTTTTTTGCGAAAATCAGACGAGTTACAGTCAAAACGCGATTAAAACGTGATTAAGAAAATTTTCGAACGGAAATTCAAAAATTAGTTACGAAAAATTAAGAACTTGTTGTTGAATTAAACATCATCATAGTCATAGCAAAATCACAACAAAATCATGCTCAAATTAAACAACTTTAGCAACACGTTTTTAAGCCCTAAAACCATGAAAATCAACATTTAAAACCCCAATTAACGCATAAATAAAATCTAAAATTTAATCCCACAATTTGAATAAAGTATAATCCATAAAGTTACAATCTTTTATAACTCATAACATAATCAAACCATGATAATTATAAATCATAAAGAAATTCGTATAAAAATAAAGATTTAAAGTAATTTAAACAAGAAAAGAAAGGAAAA